CTGGAGTTCTCTGCTCTGTCCCCGTCCTCAATGGGACCATGGACTATCTGAGATCACAGGCCTGAGGTCCTGGCTCTGGAGCTCTCTGCTCTGTCCGCCGTCCTCAGTGGGACCAGGGGCAGCCCAGCTGGCAGCACCTGCCCTTCCATGTGTGCCCTTCTCACAGGGTGAGAGGGGTGAGGTAATACAGTAGCAGTGAACTCCCCGGGCACCCACGCAGTGTGATTAAGCCCTTCCTGGTGTCTACTGCGCCTTGGACTTCCTGCCTACAGTCTGCCCCCTGTGGGTAAAATAGGGTGAGCACACAGCGGAGCCTCCAGGGTCCTGGTGGCTGCCCTGCCCACACACCCTGGGCTGGAAGTTGTGCCTTGCCTCAGTGTCCCACGTGTACACTAGGAATGGTGGTGCCTTTTCAGCACTGTCCTGACCAGCAGGGGGCTGGGATACTGTGAGTCCTCAGGGCAGAGGCTGCACTGGGATCATGTGTAGATGACCAGGGCCTCAGCCCTAGATCCTGAATCCTGGACGCTGGCAAGAGCCCATCCTGCAGTAGCCACAGGAATGCCTTCACACTGGGAGTCTCAGACTGGCAGCCTAGGGGGGCAGTCCCAGCTCAGCTTCGTCTTATGTGCTTTGTGCTTTTCACGTCTAAGAAATTTTTTGCACTAATATTTAAATCTCCGTATCAAAATGTAGAGATTTGGGGCTTCTCTGAAAATCAGAGCTTGGCCTCAGCAGTACACATCCCACATGGCAGGTACAGGCTGCAAGTGCTCACACACCCACACTCTGGGTCTGTTCCAACTCCTGGCTGGCCCTGGTCTGGGCAGAGGAGGCTTGGCCTTTGGGCCAAGGACCTTTATGCATCCAGCAGCCAGTGCTGAGCCACACAACACCCACTTGGAGAGCAGTACTGCCAGGAGACCGAAGTCCCAGGGACCCTGAGCCCCTGCAGGTGGCACCATGCAGATCTAGGCAAAGGGTGTGTGGGATGCCACAGGCTAGAGAGAGAACCACGCTTACTCTGTCGTCCAGAGTCATCCAGGGTGGCTGGATAAGACACCCCCACCCAGCTCAGAACACCACTTCTAGCCTCCTCTGGGACTTGGCACCCTAACAGAGTGGTCAAGGGTAGCAAAGGGAAGGTCCCTGTGACCTTCAGGCTGGGAAGGATCAAGGGCCCTGGCAGCCTCCTCTCAGGCTCCTCGTTATTTCCAGGCTGTAGAGAGGGACACTGAGGGTCTGAGTCCCCTGCCGCTCCCCTTTGCAGACTACCCCAATGGCATCCGGCTCACATCAGCCGTCCCAGGAGCAGACATCAAAGTGCTGATAAACTTCAACGCCCCCAATCCTCAAGACCGGAAGAAATTCACCGATGACCTGCGGGAGTCCATTGCAGAGGTGCAGGAGATGGAGAAGCACAGGATAGAGTGTAAGTCCCAGAACTCCGGGGCTAGGAGGCACCAATAACCAGGAAGGCCAGGGCTCTCTGGACATAGGCAGTGACTGTTCAGAGGCTGACAATGCCCGTGATTCCAGAGACACGACGTCACCGGTCTCTTCAGGTGTTCCCATTACCACAGAACAGGAGACAGGGCTCCCTGCATGCCCAAGCCACAGAAAGAGAGGGGGTGGGGAGGGGATGGGAGGCCAAGACTAATGAGGGCCCAGCCCTGCCCTGCTGTCAGGGCATGTTGGGTACCCTGGGGAGCACCCCCAGTTTTCTGATCACCCCACAGACGGAAGCTGGCGCTGTGTGCCTTACCCTTCAGTGTAACTATCAGATGCCTTCTGAATGGGACTCAAGCAGTTGTGGGGTCACAGCCAAGGCCATGCCCTTGGTCTATTCCCTGAAAACACATGGGTGTCCCCACCTCTCCTGCCTGCCCCTAAGCCTGGGAGGTGACTGTCATCCCTGTAAATCACAAGGTCTCCCTCCTGCGTTTCCCTTCTGCTCCCTTTATCCAGGGCAGCTGTCACACCCTGTCTTTCCCAGAAACTACCCACACACACAGTCCTGGCAGATGGGAGCTGTGTTCTCTGTGCTGCCTGTGTTTTATGCCTTAGACAGAGGCCGGGGTCCCCAGCCTCCCACCCTCTTTGGCTGTGCTTCTCTGACCAGGCCCTCACCCTCTCTGTTCCAGCTGAGCTCGAGAAGCAGAAGGGTGTCATGAGGCCCAGCATGTCCCAGTGCTCCAGCCTTAAAAAGGAGTCGGGCAATGGGACACTGAGCCGGGCCTGCCTGGACGACAGCTACGCCAGTGGCGAGGGCCTAAAGCGCAGTGCCCTCAGCAGCTCCCTGAGGGACCTCTCGGAAGCCGGTAAGAGCTCAGCCTAGAACCACCTTCCTAGCCCAATGCATGCAGGACTGAGCCAGGGTGTCCGCAGTCGGGGCATGCATTGCGCGCCGGGAAGGGCCCACAGTGGAGCCAGCAGAGGGAGCTGCCCAGAGCACTGTGGGGCTTCCCATGACCGACCGTCCCCAAACCAGTGCAGCATTTGACGGCACAGAAAGGGCGTCCCAACAAGGCAGAGGAAAACAAGACCTAATTGTTGTTGAAAGAAAAGGCACCCTGTGCAAAACAGCCAGAGAGTCCCTCCGCTTCCCCTTTCCTCTTCTAAGGGTTTTACTTACTCGTCGTTTATTTTCTTGAAGTCGCTCTAGCACAGAGCAAGCCGGGCCAGTGTGTCCCGTGTTCTCTGTGCGGCCATGTCCCTGTGTTTTATGCTGATGAATGAAATTGAGTGAAGCCCTCTGTCTGGAGCCCCTTCCCATCGACCCAGGTCTCGCGTTCCCTGCAGGGCCTCTGTCCAGCCCAAAGGCGACTGTCCCCAGGCTGCGGCTCATTCCCGGGTATTGGGGAAAGCCTCGGTGGTAACTGTGATTGTTGTGGTTGTTTGTTTCTGTGTTTGTTTTAATTTGCTGCCAGCCTGTTTAAACCCCTAGCAAATAGCACCCCTCAGGCCTGCCAGCTCTCCAGGGCTGGGCACTTTAGCGGGGAGCAGGGAGCGTCTGCTGGCACCCTTTCCCCAGTCCTCCCTCTCAGCAGGCCCCATCAGCAGTTGCTGGAACCCCCGTAGCCTTCTTTGCCCCAGCGCTGCGGGAGGGGGACTGCGCCGTGCCGCCTTGGTGGGCACATGGCTGTGCTGGCACTCTGGGCTCCGGATCAACAGCTCTGCCCACCCCAGAAGCCTGACATGAAGCTTGTCTGTCAGGAAGACCCTCGAAGCCCCAAATGGGCACTGCCCACCCTGCCCCACACTGCCCAGCGCCGCCTGCTCAGGACTCCTTGGTGCCTGCCCACCAGCAGCACTGCCTCCCTCGGCTTTCTCGGTTCTCAGATCCTTTTTATTCTTTTTCTTTTTTAGTTGGTTTTTTCCCCTTTGCTTTTGTTTTGTCTTTTTTTTTTCCCATAGTGAAAAAATCAGAAATCCATTGCCAATTGCAGCTTGAAGGTCTAACCCAGGGCTTCTCAACCTCAGCGTGATTGATGTTTTGAGCCATGTGAGCCCTTGCTATGGGAGCCATCCTGGGCGCAGCAGGGGTTAGCAGCTTCCCTGGCCTCTATCACTTATGCCAGTTATCCCTTCCCAGACTTAACTGTCACTGATGGCTCCCAAAATTGCCAGGTATCCCTTGGGGGGCAAGATCACCCCTGGTTGAGAACCACTGGTTTTCCCAGTGGCCTTCTGGAACGCAGCTGAACCTCATGGGACTGCTTTGGGCCTCTGCAGGCTGCATGGGACAGGGCCTCTGTTTGAGTTTGTGCAGTGTGGCAGGCCCTGCCCTGTCCCTTCCCTGGTGAAGCACCCAGAGGGCCAGGAGGCCCTATCCAGCACCTCTCAGGTAGTAGTGGTACTGTTGAAACTGAGGCCCTCATGGCCAGTCACACCTCTGTTAGTCCCAACAGTTGCCCATCCACTCCTGGCCAGAGCTTAAGGGTCAGACGGAGCTAAGCACCATGAGGGTGGCTGCTTTCTGTTTAGCGTTACTATTGCCACTGTCACTTGGGGATTCTGAGCTAAGGAGGACTCTAGGTGTTGAGTCCTCTCTGGGCCTGTAGTAATTTAAAAAAAAAGAGAGAGAGACCCAGGAACAGCTCCCAGAAATCAGGGAGGTTGGGGTGCAACGAAGTGGGTGTTTGAGTCCAGGCAGCTGCCAAAGCTCCAGACCTGGGAGAGGCCACAGTGGCCTCCAGGTGAGACAGGTGAGTGCTGGCCACCTCCTGGGAGCGTGCTAGGCTGGGCAGCGGGAGCGGCAGCGTTGTGCATTCTGCACTGGGTCAAGCGGAGTGACTCCCACCCCGCTCACCATGGCCCCCAGCGGCAGTGTCTCCCCTGAGTGGTTGGCCCATCCCTGCTGCCTCAGATGTGCAATTGCACATCCATCTGGGACAGAACACACCATGGACACAGCCTCAGCCCAGCACAAGCCTGGGGGACTAGTGATGTCATGGCTGGAACCCCAGAGAAAGCCTGTCCACAGATACCTCCAGGAGCCTCTGATGTTGAGACCTACACAAAGGGGGCTGGGCTCTGGCCCAACCGCAGTGCACCACCTGGTGTCTGCCAGCTGAGACTCCCATCCAGCGTTCATTCCACAGATGCAGAGCCCTGCCAGCCTGTGATCAAGGACCTAGCAAGGACTAAGGAAACAGGGGTGACCAGGCCTTAATGTAGCCCCCAGATCAGTCAGGTCATGGTGGAGACTGTCCAGAGGCCCTCAGTGGCCCTCCTGCCCCTTCGCAGCCAAGCTGGCCGGTACTGAGTCTGCACAGAGAGGACCTGCCTGCAGCAGTCACTACTCCAGGGGAGGCCTCCTCCACGTCCCGCCTCAGGCAGCCCATCTGTGAGGGCTGTGGCATCAGCAGGCCTTGCTGGAGGGTAGGCAGAGCAGTCCCTGCTGCCACGTGTGAAGAGCCTGGAGCCTGGAGAGGGGCTGTACTAGCTGTCACCTCAGCCTCATCACTCCCCAACCACGCCAAGCACAGCAGAGCACGTGGCACAGCACCCCGACCCAGTCGGGCTGCACAGGTTCACTTCCTGCTTAGCTTGCCCCTGGCATGGTACACCTGTGGGCCTCAGTTTCCCAGCTGCCATGAGAAAGATTCAATGCCAAGAAAGCTTTCAGAATGTGCGTGGCTCCAACAGCTGGCAGTGTGCATAGCTGTCGTTCTATTACAGTTACTGAGCAAGGTCACCTGCCTGGCCTCCAGCATTGCTGAGGGTCACGGGATCAGGATCCTGGGTGGGGGGGAGCCCTGCTCCTGGCATCCTGCCATGACTCTGAGGAAGCAACAAGGCCGTGAAGAACCACGCTGGGAGCCTGTCCAGAGCACAACTCCAAGTCCGTCTGTGCTGGGGGATGTGCCTGTGAGCACCAGGCTCTGGGATTCAGGGCCGAGAGCCCATGGGGTCAACTCTACATCTGCTGATTTGAGACATTTAGAAGGTAGATTTTTTTTTTTTTTTTTTTTTTTTTGAGACGGAGCCTCAAGCTATCCCCCTGGCTAGAGTGCCATGGCATCACGCTCACAGTAACCTCCAACTCCTGGGCTCAAGCGAGTCTCCTGCCTTAGCCTCCCAAGTAGCTGGGACCACAGGCGCCCGCCACAACGCCCGGCCATTTTTTGGTTGCAGCCGTCATTGTTGTTTGGCGGGCCCGGGCTGGGGATTCAAACCCACCACCTTAGGTGTATGTGGCTGGCGCCTTAGCCGCTTGCGCCACAGGCACCAAGCCTAGAAGGTAGATTTTAAGACACTCAGCATCATTCCAAGACAGCCAAGTCAAGGCACTTCCTAAGTGTCAGCCCAAATTGGACAGAAGGAGGACTCTGTTCAACTGCAAGTGGAGACACAGTGTGGGCGGCAATCCCAGCTCTCAGCCTGGCCAGGTCCTGTCAGGAGAAGCAGACCATCAGAAGGGCATGCAGGACACTGCCAGGGTAGTCCTCAGGGAGGCGGGGGAGTGCCCAGGCCTTAGAGGGCCTAAGCAGCCGATCTTAAAACCCCAAAGGGCTTTCAGCATTTCCACCTGCTGCCACGGTGTCCTGATGTCTGATGGCCATGGCCAGCCACAAGGGCATGGAGGAGGGAAGTCCTGTCCACTTTGCAGATGAGGAAACTGCTGTAGTGTCTGAGGAGCCAGCTGGCCACCACGCAGCCCAAGAGGCTCCTCTGGGAGTTGTACTCCAACTCTGCTTCACGTCCCTGGATCACTGTTCTGGGCAGGAAGGGAACAAAGGCCAGCCTGCCTTCTCGCTTGGGCAGGAAGATGAAAAGATGTATTATTATTCTTTGTTCCCCCCAGCTGGGAACAAGGGCCTCAGCAACTGGCAGAAAGCTCTTGCCCCTAATGGGGTGGTGCAGCCCTGTCCCAAGAATGGTCTCTGAGGGCCACTTCACACAAAGCAGAGCCAAGCAAGGCTCTTATCTGGACCTCAGGTGTGGGGGTTGACAGGCTAAACAAAGGGACTGGACTCCCCTGAGCCAGTGGCTGTACCTAGCACTAACGCCCTGTCCCAGGCACAGCCCAGCACACACCGATGACCGCCAAGAGGCCCAGCACCTACAGACACACTCATCATCCAGGGCTTGGCTCGTGGCCCTGGTCTGACTTTGAGGAGCAACAGGGTTCACCCCAGAAGCTAGGGAAGGTGGACAGCAGAGAGGTACACGACAGTCTATCCTTCCAGGGGCCCCGGCCTCACCTGGCCCTGGGTCCAGTTCAGAAGGCAGCATAGCCAAGGCGTCCAGCCTTAGAGGTGGGTGGGCAGGTCTGGGTGTGAACCCCACTCCCTGTGGGAATTGGGCTTTGGTGTCCTGTCACGACACAGTGACACCTGTGACACAGTGCAGAACTCAGCTCACAGCCATGCTGCACAGATGGAAGCTGAGAGGAGGCCAAGCAGGGAAGGCCGTTCTCCATCCCCCTTATCACTCCCAGAGAGCTGGCCAAAGCACAGGCCCTAAGGAGGACACCTGCTATGCACCACACCACGTCCTGCAGAGACCCCTGGACAGGTTCTCTAAAGGGAACATGGAGTCCAGGCTGGGCCCTGGGTCCAGAGCAAGACTCAACCTTCCTTTGAAAAAGCCAACACAGTGCCTGCTGTGTGCCCTGCCATGGGAACACAAAGAAGAGACCTCCTCACTTAGGAATGCTTTGTGTCAGCACAGGGGCCCCAGCCTGTCTCCTGCCCTGGCCAGGCCACTGCACAAACCAAAACTCAGCCCCCAGAGGCACCCAGGAGGACAGGGGACCTGAAGTTTAGTTTCTTCCTAACCATTAATTCCCACACTGTCAGTAAAGGCAAGGATATGTATGTGTGCTGTGGCTGTCCATACACATATATATGGAATCTACTGGCAGGCAGGGCCGCTGAGGACCAAGCACGCTGTGTGTGCTATGGCTGCTGGACAGGCTGCCCTCAGCCCCACCCCTGTTCACCTGAGCCGAGGCCCCGAGGCCCCTCCGCATAGACCTCTGGTCCAGGAGAAGGCGTATAAAGTTGGGGCTGGTTTTAATGTCTTTTCTTTTTTTTCTTTTATTTTTATTTTTTATTTTTTGCTTTTTGAAAACTCCATTTTTAAATTCATTCCTGCACTGCTGCCGGCTTCCCCACCAAGCCCCTGCCCTGATCCCTCTCACCTGGCCCTCCTGGGCAAGTGGGCCCGGCACCCTCACCTGTTGCCCACAGCAGTCCAGGCTCTGCGGTGGCGGCGGCAGCAGCGCAGCGCCAGGCAGGCAGCGCCCCAGGCCTCGTGTCCATGTCTAACTCTGGTATTGCATGTTCTGGGCAGGGAAGCGAGGGCGTCGCAGCAGTGCGGGATCGCTAGAGAGCAATGTGGAAGTAAGTAGGAAGTCCCCCGTCCAGCGGGCTGTCGTGTGTTGCTCCCCGTCCTTGGTTACCGTCTGTTGTCCTTTTCTTTGCTCTTCCTTCCCCTACTTCACAGAGATGCAAACACACCCCTCCGTGCCCCTGCCTGCCTCAGACCCCGTGCATGCCGGCTTCTCCTCTGCGCCTAGAAATATCCATGCCTCTCACCGCTTGTTTTGGACTGAAGAGTTGGGGGTGGTTCTGGATTTTGTGTTCTAGTTTCTGCTTAGCCCCTATTCCCTGTGGTCCCTGAGCATGATTAATCATCCCCACCTTTCTGGCATCCCCACCCCAGGTCCCTGCCTGGGCCCCTGCTCCCAGGTGGGCAGGCACCAGCCACCACGCTCCCACTCACCCTCCACTCCTGCTGTTGGATGTTCTTACCCGACTCTTGCCTTCCATGCGCCACCATTCCCATCACTCCCTCCTTGAAGTTTCGATTGCTGTGTGTCTGCAGTTAGGACACCATGGAATTGCTTAGCTACCTTGTGGGAGGAGGAGCGTCTTGAGAGAAAGAAAAATTCAGTGTGGATTTCATGAGATTTCATTCATCCTCTGGCCATCCTATACTACCGTTCACATCTTAACCTCAGCGTGCAGATCTTTTCTGTCTCCTGTTTCTCCTCGTTTGGTTTGCAGTAGGTAGCTGCAGCGAAACACCAGGCATCCCAGGCCCCCAGGGACAAGCTTTCCAAGTCCTACCTGTTCTGTCACCAGCTCCCCAGAAGCCTCAGGACCTACATGGGCAGAGCACATGCCCTTGGCCCAGTTGAGAGGTCCTGGGGAAGTTCAGGGCAGGAACCCGGTTTGAGCCTTCTGCTCCCTCACCACACAGCTCCCAGACCCCCCAACCCAGTCAACTCTGAGCAGAACCTCAGGCAGGACATCAGGCCTACAGTGCTTGTCAGAGCGAGAGCAGAAGCCAGAAAGGTGCCCCCCCATCTCCACCTCTGTCAAGGTCAGTGGCCCCCAGCTGTCCTACACAGTAGTGTGAAAGGCAGTGGGGGCCTAAGTCCAGCAAATCCAGCCCCACCCTCTGGCCAGTGAGTTGAACTAAGGCTTGGCAGTCAGTGGGTGAAATTTACATTAAAAGAAAGTCATTCTGACATAAGTGCTTTAAGATCTTTTAATTTTGATTTCTATGAATTTCCTTTTTAGGGGTCCATCATTAACAGTCCTCACATGCGCCGGAGAACTACATCAACACGAGAGTGTCCATCTCGCCCACACCAGACTATGCCTAATTCATCCTCCCTCCTGGGCTCCTTATTTGGGAGTAAGAGAGGGAAGCCCCCTCCCCAGGCCCATCCGCCCTCAGCCCCTCCCCCACCACCACCCCATCCACCAGTCCTGCCCCACCCGCAGCACTCCTCAGCCGGCCACCACCCCGGGCCCACAGAATGTCTGCCGCAGGCACAGGTGCACGGGCATCACACCCAGTACTGCCACATGCAGCAGAACCCACCCCCCTACCACCATCACCACCACTACCACCCCCCCCAACACATCCCGCACGCACATCAGTACCACCACGGCCCCCATGGGGGGCACCCAGCCTATGGGGCCCACGTTCACGGCCACCCACCGCTGTCCTCAGCCCACGTGAGCCATGCAGTGCACCACCACGGGCAGCCACCTGCCCCGCCGCCCCCCACCAGCAGCAAGGCCAAACCCAGCGGTATCAGCACAATTGTATAGACATCTGAGTGGGGGCTCCCAGGCTCCCTGAAACAGCTGCACACCACACAGGGTACGCCCCGGGGCAGCCAGCCTCACATCAAACCCAGGGCACTTGTGTTGCCATCTCTCCCCTCTGCCCCTCACAGCCTGGACGGAGCCTCATGGACCCACAGGGAGTGTGTTTTATGGAACGGAGCTCCAGATTTCATTTAGCATTGGCAGCCTGGGCTCCATTGCTCAGTCCGAGGGGTGGCCTCACCCATGTCTGCCTGAGACAGCACCATGGGCCGTGTAGATGTTGAACTGCCTCCCCCGCCCCAGCCCCCAGCTCTCTGCTCCCTAATTTACATGCCTATGAAAACCCAAGCTAGGGATCGAAGAAATGAGATACAAAAATAACAGACAAAACAAAACCCCCAAACTTGCTGCATTATTGCTCTTTTATTGACAATGGGCAAAAAATTAAGTAGACCTGATATGGTTGATGAAAATACGTAAGTAAACTTTATATAATATAAATATATAAATATATAAATACATATATATATACTGTATAGGTAGTACTTGTGTGTGAAAGGCAAGCATTTCAGTCCACAGCATTAGCAATATTGACCTCACAAGGAACTTCACTTCCCGGAGGAAGACAGTCCTCTAGATGAGTGTGTGAGACTAGAGCAAACCCTTAAACGCTAGGAACAAGCTCAGATACTTCCATTATTTTCATACGAAGAAGAGAAGTCCCTCTAGGACTGGCTAAATCCTTATGCCATCATTACTAACTGTGCCAAGTAACATAGCATCTAACTGTTTAAAAAGTCCAATGTTGCTTTGTATAAATCCTTATTTTATTAACAGATAATATAAATAATCAGTATTATAACTGCTCTGTTATTTCAGGTAAGCAAATAGCTAAAGTGCAGTAACCTACAGTAGCAACTTAGGACAACTAGTTAACTGGTTGTCTTAGGATATTGGTCACACAGATTCTTAGACACTTTAATGGCTGCGATAACTGTGAATTTCCATGATCCATGTTTCTTTTATATGCATATGATTTGATGCACACCCATCCGGAGACCCCTGGGAGGGCCCATACACAGAAGTCCTCATCTCCAACATGAAAACGACCAACCCATCCTGTCTCCCCAGCACCATAACTTACTCATCCCGTCTCAAACCACAGCAGGCAGACGCCCCCAGAAGGTGTTTCCCCCAGGAAACACTCCACTCTGAAGGCTGATTTTAGAGTCCGGCCACCCGGGGCAGTGTGTGTGTCTCTCATCTTGTCTTCTGAGTGGTGGCAGTGATCGTTGTAATTCCATGTAGTCATGTGCTAGCAGACCCCCTGTGTCATCACCGTGGCCCATGTGACCCCGGCCGACGAGTGCCCAGCCCTCGCCAGGCAGTGCCCCCGCTGCCCTCTCATGGTCCAGTGAGCTGCCAGGGCATCACATGACTCAGCTGTGCTCTTGTCGCTTCTGTGTTGTGGTGACACCATGCACTCCCCTGGCACCAGACGCTGCACGAGTTGGGTCTGTGCCTGAGTCACCCACGGGCCGTACTTTGTAGTTTCAGCCTTTCGAGCCACTGCAGCCGCCAGTGCTTTGCTCCTAAGCCGTGGGACCCGAGGACTGCCCCATGGCCCCCGCCCAGGCGGACAGCCCTTTCAGAAAGGGTGAAGCTAGCGCCCGACTCTGCGGGCTGCGGCCCCGCGCTCAGTGGACAGCGTGGGGAGCCGTGGCTGGACAGCAGGAAGAGAGAGGGGAGCCCACCCTGGCTGTGTGTCACCCTGGTCTGGCTGGGGGCTTTGCTGATGCCCCTCCTCACCAACCCCCCCCCCGTCATGTCATTGAAATCACTGTACCAGCAAATCTGTAAACCAAGCACTTTGTTAATCTCCACAGAGAGTAAATACAGCAATTTAGCGTTTAGCCTTTTTAAAAATGAGTGTGACTTTAACATGCCCACCTTTGTCCTCTCATTGGTGTGGCATTTCTTTCTTCGGCCTCTGCTGAGAAAGAAAAAGTGTGTGATTGGGTCCAGGCCAGGCTGGTGAGGGCACCCTGGTGTCACTGACTCCAGAATTCTTTGATTTTTCTTAAAAGTCAGGCTCCTCGAGGCACTCTCTGTCTTGCAGTTTCAAGAATGTTGTTCTGACTTGGGAAAGTCGTGTTGTACTGCATGTCATCCAGTGTCAGCCGTGTGAGGCGGCACTCGTGTTATACACGTACAAAATATATCAGTGTGACTGTGACAAATAGTTGAAGTAAAGTGGTAACATACCGAATATGTCGGCTTTTCTTCACCCTCCTGTGTACCAAGGGTTGAGTCACACTGTGACCTTTAGGTTGTTCCAGAAAAGATACCAGCTGTTTGGTACAGAATTGTGCTTTCTGAAGGAGCATTGCTTGTGTACAAAACTCAACAAAAAGAACAAACAGCAGATCCAGCAGAGGGGCTTTCTCCCTGTCACTCTCCGCAGCTGCCCCGTGAGCTCCACACAACTCCCAACTCCCAGCCTCCCGCACGGTCTCCTGTGTCCTGCAGCTGTGCTGGGCAGCAGGGCTGTGCTGGCATAAGGGGCTGTGAACACACTCAGCTCCACCCGGGGCTCCAACACAACTTCAGGGTGTTGCTTCAAGCCACTGAGGTTCCCCCTTCCCCGTGCTTTATCTGCAGGCTTATCAGAAGCGTTTACAGAGGCATATGTTGGGTTCGGAGGCTGCAGCCATGGTGCCCACATCTTGTTTGGGAAGCAAAAGCTCCTAGTGAGCTCATGTCCCTGTGTGTCTCTCATGGGACTGTCCTCTAGATCCCCACCTGTCACAGAGCCACAGCTTCTAGGCCCCATCCTCACGTGGTCCAGGAGGGGAGGCAGCGGAGCCGAGGGTCCCGGGATGTCTGCCTCGTCCTTTCTCCCTGTCGGGACACCCTTGGGACATCTTTCTCAAGTTGCACAAATTAGTTACATGTAGAATCATGGACAGGAGACCCTTAAAGGAGGCAACTGGTGATGTGACAAGAGTCTTTTCTGGGACAACAATCAAATCATGTATTTGTATTTTTTTAAGTTTATGAATGAATTGTACAACGATGTAAAAATAAAGTTCATCCTAATATGATGTGCACATCTTGCTTAAAAATGTCTCAGCACCCAGCGTAGAACGGTCTTCCTGGCACACACTGCATGCAGCAAGGGCCTCTTGTTTTCTTAACAGTGAGCTAAAAAGACAGCAGATGTTTAAGCCCGATGCTAGGTGTTGACTCAGTGCCCCATAGGAAGCTCTGTCCCCACAGGTAAGCATGCACCCTTAGTTTTCGTTATAAAATATCATCACCCTTCCTGCCTGAAAAATGAGTAAGTTTGTAAGTAGTTTATACAATAGCAGAAAGTGAAATCATCAGTGAAGTGGGGGTGCTGAGCCCCAGCCAAGCAGGAGGAGGGGCCTACCCCACGTGGACACAGCCTGGGCCGCTCCTGTCTGCAGTCACACGTGCACAGAGCACGTGCCTCCTCTTGGGAGCTGCCACCTGCCTCCCAGTTTTTGTTAAGGGATTAGAACGAGCAGCCCGCCCCGCACTGTAACAATGGGAGGAAGAGAGTTTTTGGTTTAGTCTGCATTCTGTTTGTGCATAGTAACAGACTCTGCTGGTGTAAAACCGTGGCTGTGATCATGTGGAGAAATCAAATAAATCCTTTGAAACTCTCAGATTCTTACTTTTTCTGAAAAGTCCATTGGCCGGACACAGGCTCTCCAGCTGCCGAGTGCGCCCCTCCTGTGTGACTCAGCGCTCACTGTCCTTGAGGACACTGACATGGGATTCAAGATAAAAGGACACATCACAACCTGGGGACTGACAGAATAATTCAGAGATATTTACAATTTCTTTCAACTTCCAACACGTTTTGGTGCTGACCTTGAGTTAGAGGATGTAGATCCCGTGATGCATGGGGATGGACTAGGAACGTCTCCGGGAAGTAACAGAAGCAGCGGTGCCGGTGGCCGCGTCTCTGGACGCTCACAGCTGGCTCTGTGCGGTCAGGGCCACCCACCTGTCTGTGTCGGCTAAACGTTACTACGAAAACCACAGAGTAGAGTCTGATTCTCCTGGAAGGAAGTCCCGTGCTGGCTGGCTGTACTCTGTCTCCTGTGCTGGCCGCCGTGGGCCCCTGAGACCACCACCTTGAAGTTTCACTACATGTTAGAAAATGGATAAAATGTGTGGGTATAATTTGCTGAAGAGAAAAAGTTAATTTCAGTGACCAACTTAGCCGTGGCCTACCCTTCGTACAGAAGTGAATTCCCATGGAAAGATGTTCTCAGACTGAGGCTGGAGGCTGAGCCACTGCTGGTTCCTCCAGACAAACCGGGAAGCCTGCAGTTGCCGTCAGCACATCCTGCTTGCGCTTGGCATGATTCCTGTCTCGGTAGCCGGTGTCCATCCTTTTTACAGGCCATTCAGGGCCTCTTCAAGAGACTAAAGCTGGTTAAGGAAGTTCTCTGAAATGCCTAGTGGGACCTCAGGGCTGCACTCAGGCCCCTCGGGTCTGCTGGAGGCAAGTGAGCTACAAGCCAGTGCCTCAATGCTGTGATGGGGCTTCCTCTTGTCCCCCTTCCCTGAGATCATGCCCTGTGGCAGAGAAATGACTGGGCCTGATCCACCTCTGTGTGTCCAGTGACCAGCCCAGAGCTGGGCTTGTCAAAATACTTACAAAAATGCAACGATGGTTGGAAGGGTCAAGGGGCAGATCACAACAAAACCAGTGGCTGCTCATGGAGGGTGTAAGTCATCATCCTGCTCATCTAAAGTTCACGGAAACCTGGCTGGTCAGCCTCTGCCCCTTGGGACATGAGGCATCTGGGAGACACCAACAGAGTCACCTCAGAGCAGGACTCGTGCCCACGGACAGTTCCTTCTCCTAGGCTGCACAGGAATCTGTGCCCCCGAATCTCAGGGACACATTTAGTCCTTCCTGACCCCTCAGCCACTGACCCTCGTCCAGCTTCCTTCTTGAAACAGTGTTTCCTGGGCGGCTCTGACCCCTGCTTTGAGCACCATGTTCCTTTGGCGTTTCTGTCTTCATGACCAAATTCTTTTTTTCTTTTCCTCGCTCTTTGTGTGTGTGTGTGTGTGTGTATGTGTGTGTAACTCTGAGAGCGGCCTCTGCTGCATTCCCTGTGTGTGTCACGCTGAGAGTGGTCCCTGCTGCGTTCCCTGTGTGTGTGTGTCACGCTGAGAGCGGCCCCCGCTGCGTTCCCTGTGTGTGTGTGTGTCACGCTGAGAGTGGTCCCTGCTGCGTTCCCTGTGTGTGTGTGTCACACTGAGAGCGGCCCCCGCTGCGTTCCCTGTGTGTGTGTCACGCTGAGAGCGGCCTCTGCTGCATTCCCTGTGTGTGTCACGCTGAGAGCGGCCCCCCACTGCGTTCCCTGCGTGTGTGTGTCACGCTGAGAGCGGCCCCTGCTATGTTCCCTGCGTGTGTGTGTCACACTGAGAGCAGCCCCTGCTGCATTCCCTGTTTCAGCAAATGGCATCACCAGTGAGTTGTTCAGACCAAAACTTGGGGTTGTTCAGGGCCCCCAACAGGCATTAGATTAAGATGCATATCAAGGCAGCCTCTGTGACTGTTAATTTAGGGTCAACTTGACTGGACTAAGAGATGCCCAGGGAGCTGGTAAAACATGACTGCTGGCATTTCTGGAAGAGATCAGCACTTCCCAGTGGATTGCCTGAAGATCACCCTCACCATTGTGGGCAACACTCTCCAATCTGCTGAGGGCCTGGGTGGAACAGGAGGAAGGAGGAGAATTCAGTCTGCTAGACCTGCACGGCAGAGCTTGGCCCCAGGACAGGAGAACTCCGGGCTATTGGGTGTTTGGGCCCTATGCCTAGACCACTGGACCTCAGGTACTCAGACCTTTGGCCTAGGGTGAGCGACTCCATCAGCCTGACCCTAACCCTTTAGCCTTTGGACTTAGCCTGAATCCCATCACTGGCCTGCCCAGTCCTCCAGCATGTAACTGGTGTACGTGGGACTTCTCAGCCTCCAGGATGGCATGAACAAATTCCCTGGGTGTGTGGTGTCCTGTTCATTATGTTTTCTGGTGAACCCTCAATAATACAGGTTTAGAACAAAAATAAAGCCTTCCTAAATACAAAAGGAAAAAAAAAAACAGAAGGGTGGAACAGACCACAGACCTCAGAGTAAGAGGTACCAAGTACATACAATACACACAGTAAATTTACATCAAACCGTACTACAGAATGAGCAACAAACATACCAGTTCTACAAATGAATGTAAATGTATTTAACTCCACCATTAAAATACAACAGCTTAAGATTGGCTCATGGACCAGTCAGCTATTGCCTCACTAATTCTGTGCAGCAACCCCAACCTCAGGGGCATTAGGCCGCTAGGTGTTTCTCAGTCCTGCCACTACATATGGATGGGTTCAGCTGGCCTAGCCTAGGCTCAGTCTGGGCTGCAGGGGGCCTCGGGCTGCTCCTCCCTCTCTTATTCTGCTGCTCCCGTGTCTAGGGAGGAATATCTCTGTCACAGCAAAAGGCTGGACTCCAAGGAGGTGAGGCTGGCCCCGCCAGCACATGGCAGAACTTGACGCGCCATGAGCACAACCCCACTGACCAAACTGGTGCATGCTCGGCCCAAAGGAGGAAGTTGTGGTGAGGGTCAGGAATAGTGCCATCTACCCTAGACCACAAAGCAAAACCCAACTAGCTCCAGGTCAACAAAAAGAAAGGCTAAACAAAGACATGGGAAGATAGGTACAAGCACAGGAAACCCAAAATGGGGTGGGGAGGGGGAGAGTTACAATCCTGACGTCGGACAAAGTGAAAATCAGCCTTAAAATCAATGTGCAAGGTGAGGAGACTCGAGAAGGCTAGACGCTATAATCGCCAGTGAGGACTTTCTGAAGACCCTGTGCACCACATACAACAGCAGCGAGCACCAGAAAACACGGATGGCCCGGCCTGGTAGCTCATGCCTATAATCCTAGCACTCTGGGAGGCCCAACAGGAGGATGGCTTGATGCCAGGAGTTCAAGACCAGCCTGAGCAAAAAAGCAAGACCTCGATTGTACTAAACCAACATCCTGAACCAAATTATAGCAAACATCTAATGGCGTATTTCGTGTAAACTAATATACCTAGAAAAAAAATTACTTGAGCATGGTGGGAGGAAGCTGAGGCAGGAGGATTGCTTGAGCCTAGGAGTTGGAGGTTGCAGTGAGCTATGGTAATGCCACTATACTCTAGCCTGGGTGACAGAGTAAGACTCTGTCATAAGTAAATAAATAAGGCAATACAAGAAGAAATAACATACTTGTAACAGGTTAAACGTTCCACTCTGACTCCGAGACAGGTTAAGAGGACCAAAATGAAATGATACAGAAGCCTGTGGTCTCTTATGGATGTGATACCAAACTTTGTACACCAATAAAAGAGAACACACTTTTTCAACCACACATGGAACATTTATGAATAAGGCACAAAGGAATTTATCAATGTTAAATTCCATAAGGCAGAGATAATACCATTAGAATAACAGTAATCAAAAAAATCAAAAGATCCTTTCCTACTGGAAATGTTATCAACCCTCTATTAAATTACTGTTGGGCCAAAATGCAAATTAACACTACAGAGTTTGTTTAAAAATGGTAACACCTCTTCTCAGAATCCATGATGCAATTAGAGCAATGGTACAAAAAAATGATGTCAAAAATGAAAGCACAGAAAGAAACATCAACCTCAAAGTTAAAAAGTAAAGGAGAAACAAATATATAAAGAAAAGCAAAAATCAGTACACAGAAATAGTAGGGCTTATCAATCAAAAAGCTTCTTTTGAAAATAAAGAAAATAGACAAACCTATAGCTAACTAAATCAAGAAGAAAGAACAAGCAGAAAATATAAGAAATGAAAAAATTAAAAAACAATGCTACTTTGAACAACTTCATCAAAATAAATCTGAAAACCTAGATGAAACAATTACCCCAAACTGACCCCGGAAACAGAAATTCTGAACAAATTCCCATAAGACAAACAGTAGCCAACATGTGCCACTGAGCCCATTTCCACAGGGGACTCTTTAG